ATTTCTTCCAGCACACGCAGGCAGCATTCACCTCCCCCACAGAGCCTCCCCTAGCTGAAAGGCGACAAGCAGAAGACAATCACGGAATCTTAATGACAAAGACTCTGGCCGCATGAGTCATAATCCCTTCAGGTGCTACTGCTCAGCCCAAAATTACTAGATCTCAATATTGTCCACTCCCTTAATCTCCTCCCCCTAAGCCCTGCTCCAATAGGATGTTTTTGGGATGGACTAGTAGGAGGTGGGCCAAGACATGTGACAAGCCTGGCACAAGCCCCCCCTTAAAAGGGAGCACCCAGCCATGTGGTCTCTCTCTTGCTCTCTCATTGCACCTAACCCCTCCCTATCTCACTGACTCTGGATTAGCTACCCAAGCGTCTATCCACGTGTCTGTGCTGGCCTAAGACATGACCCCATTTCCTTATAGTCTCCCTCATTTTTTTCCCCTAAGGATTGTTCCATCCCGTCGTAGACAGGTGTATTACCCCTCAACAAAATATCCTGCTAATGCGAAAATGCTATCCTCTTCTAATTTTCTTAGAACTGTATAAATGTGAGTGTGTTTGTGATATTGTATGCTTGTGAAGAATCTACAGTAAAGGAAATCATTTTATATTGAAACGTGCCTCTGAGTCTATTCCTGGTGAGCTGGGGAAAAGCGGGACCCCTGTATACACTGGTGCTTGCTCCCTTATTTTGCCTATTGCCCTTAATTTCCCCAAATATCAATCAGAATCAAGGCAATTTGGCTAACACTACTGGACTCTTTTCTACTGCTACAAACAGACTAACATGGCTACCCATCTTCATCTATCAATATGCTGACCACACCCAGCTCTCTATCTCCTTATCCAAATCTCTTGGTGATGTGGTAGAGGTCCTGAATCACTACTTCTCTGCTGTAGTTAAATGGCTAAGAGCAAACAAATTGAAACTAATCCTGACAAGACAGAGGTAATGGTGGTTGGGAAGGCAGAGATCTTGAAGGACATTTTACTTTCCACCTTCAGGGTGGTTCAGCTAACCCTCACTGACACAGACAACAGTTTAGGGGTTATATTGGCTCCAACATTACTGCTAAAGAAGCAAGTTAATGCAGCTGCAAAAAAACAACAACCCTTTCTTCCAACCCAGTCTAGCCCAGAAGATGGCAGAGGATGCTCATTAGGGCTATTCTGTAGTCATGCCATTGGCTGCTCATCAGGTACCAGGTTCAATTCAAGGCATTGGCTATCACTTATAAAGCTCTTCATGGCTTTGGACCTTCAGATCTGTGGGACTACTTTCCTTCCTATGCTCCACCACAACAGTTTCATTCATCTGCACACCCATCCTGCAGATGGACAAGACCAAAAAGCTTCCTATACACACGCATTCTCTGTTGTGGCCCCCACCTTATGGAACGGTCTGCCTGATGAGGTCAGGAAGGCTCTGATTCTCCTGGCATTTCGCAAACTATGCAAAACTGAATTACTCATGAGGGCACTTTACAAAGGTAATAGGCCTTTACTATAATGGGATGATTCAGGAAAAAGGTTTTAATAAAGGGGACTATATTGCTGAATATAGCATGTACCACCTGTTGCTGTCTATATTATCCTATTATGTAATTTATGCATCATTTAATATGACAGTACAGCAAATTTGGAAAACACAACAGTGGCCACAGGAATGGAAAAGGCCAGTTTACATTCCAGTCCCAAAGAAGGGCAATGCCAAGGAATGTACAAACTATCGCACAGTTGCACTCATTTCACACGCTAGCAAGGTCATGCTCAAGATCCTACAAGCTAGGGGAAGTTCGTCCTTCTTCAATGACTGTCTGTTGACGTCCTTCTGTGAAAAGAATAAACACCATGAAGTGACTATATATTATGTACAACATCTGTGAGGTTTTTATCTTTGCACTGTTGCAGTAATTCTTTTGTATACTTCAACAGTACGTGGACAGAGAACTGCCAGAAGTTCTACCTCACATGTCTCTTGAGAAACCTGTATGAGGGTCAAGAAGCAACAGTTATGACAGGATATGGAACAACTGATTGGTTTAGCATAGAAAAAGGAGTACAACAAGGATGTGTATTGTCACCTTGCTTATTTAATTTATATGCAGAGTACATAACGCGAAATGCCAGCTTGGATGATACAAAAGCCGGAATTAAAATTGCTGGGAAAAACATCAACAACCTCAGATATGCAGACGATACCACTCTAATGGCAGAAAGTGAAGAGAACCTGAAGAGCCTCTTGCTAAAAGTAAAAGAGGAGCGCACAAAGGTTGGCTTGAAACTCAACATCAAAAAAACTAAGATCATGGTATCCGGCCCCATCACTCCTTGGCAAATAGAAGGAGAAGTCGTGGAAGCAGTGATAGAATTCACATTCCTGGGATCCAAGATCACTGCAGATGGTGACTGCAGTCATAAAATTAAAAGTCACCTGCTCCTTGGGAGGAAAGTGATGGCAAACTTTGACAGCATAATAAAAAGTAGAGACATCACCCTGCCAACAAAAGTCTGCATGGTCAAAGCAATTGGTATTCCCAGTAGTACTGTATGGCTGCGAGAGTTGGACGATAAGGAAGGCCGAGCGCCGAAGAATAGATTCTTTTGAATTATGGTGCTGGAGAAGACTATTGGGAGTCCCATGGACTGCAAGAAGATCAAATCAGTCAATCCTAAAAGAAATCAATCAAGGCCAGATAATGAAGCTGAAGCTCAAATACTCTGGCCACCAAATGAGAAGGGAGCACTCACTGGAGAAGACCCTGATGCTGGGAAAGATTGAAGGTCAAATAAGAAAGGGACGGCAAAGGATGAGATGGTTAGACAGTGTTATTGAGGCAACGAACATGAAATTAAGCAAACTCGGGAGCACAACAGAAGACAGGAGGGCCTGACGTGATGTGTTCCATGGGGTCGCAAAGAGTCGAACTCAACTGTGTGACTGAACAACAACCACAACACTTATGCTTTGTTTCAGTTTTATTCCAGATTTTATTTTCTGCAATCCTAATCACATTACATTTCTTATTGGATGTTCCATCCTATTAACTACCTAGTTTATACTGTGTCATCCTACCTGAGTCTCAGTGAGAAAGGCAGACTACAAATAACATTAATAAATTTAAAAATTATTCAATAAATGAGATTAAGGATGATAAAAATATGTCATTGTCTTATTTACTGTAATTTTAAAAGTTCTGTAACCATTACTGTGTTGATTGTTAGATGTATTTGTAATCCCTCTAGAATTTTTCTTCCTGTTAGAGGAAAAAGCATTTTGGTCTCCTTAGGCCATTTGTTTGCTATCTGGAAAGAGTTCCTAAAGATCGTTTTGTAGACAACACATCTCCCTTGCTTTAATGCTTTCCAATGATCATTCGGAAACTCAATGAACTTCTATCATCATTCTGTGAATGGACTCCAATAGCCAGTCACTGTCATTCATTTTAACATGCCCCAGGGAGAGCTCTTGCACACTCTGGAGATGCTATTCCCTAGTGCCTTATTTGTAAACTTTGCACAGCATCACTTGGGATTTCTGCTTGAATGCTGCAAGCAGCTCATGCAAGACGCATTTTAAAATGTTTCTCCGAATGACTGATCCAGGAGGGTAGCCGTGTTGGTCTGAAGCAGCAGAACAAAGTTTGAGTCCAGTGGCACCTTCAAGACCAACAAAGTTTAATTCAAGGCATAAGCATTCGTGTGCAAGCAAACTTCTTCAGTTATCTGAAGTTATATGAAGAAGTGTGCTTGCACACAAAAGCTTATACCTTGAATTAAACTTTGCTGGTCTTAAAGGTGCCACTGACTGCACTCAAACTTTGTTCTTCAAATGACTGTTTGTCATTTGTCTTTGTCTTCAAATGACAACAAAAGCTGCCTAAGAGCCATAGCACCATAATTTTATTACTGCATGTACATTCTGCCTTGGAGGCAATGTCCACGGCATTCCTCAGGAGTCTCCCAGACAAGCACTGACCAAATGCAGAGCTGCTTCACTACAGCAGAGTTGCTACATCATTTGCCTTCAGATCATATACTAGAATGTAAATTTGATTAAAGCTTTTAATGGCAGCAAAGCATTTCTTGAGGCTGCTGCTCGAATCAAAGACAGCTGTTTCCCATTCCACAGCAAGATCACCTCCAAATAAAAAGTATGAATCACCCACAGAGGTGTCACAGGGATCACTTTTGACCAGTGTGGATCAGCGAACCCCCAGAAAAAGCACAGGTCTATGGTGGGAGAGGGAAATTAGTAGCAACTGCTATCTGTTTTTCTGTAAACAAACTGTGGTTCCATCACAGTAACTGTATGACTAGAGAACCGATGTGGTATAGTGGTTAAGAGCGGCAGACTCTAATTTGGAGAACCGGGTTTGATTCTTCACTCCTCCACATGAAGCTTGCTGGGTGACCTAGGGCCAGTCACAGTTCTCTCAGAACTCTCTCAGCCCCACCTACTTCACAAGATGCCTGTTGTGGAGAGAGGAAGGGAAGGCAATTGTAAGCTTCTTTGAGACACCTCAGGGTAGAAAAAAGCAGGGTATAAAAACCAACCTCTCCCTGTCTAAATAAGTGGATAGGTAACTTCTGCTGATACACTGTGTACAGCTAGGTATAAATAGCTGAAGTTTTGCAGAAAAGTGTCGGAATTAAGAAATGTTAGTGGGAATTGCCAGAGTAGTCTAGAACAGAACAGCTGAAGACAAGTATGAGTAGAACTATTCCTAATGGCACAACTGGACTAAAGCCAAAAGGATATTCAGTTGTTGATGTGAATGGATATAGAAAAAGGAAAGTCCAAAGCTGTTTGACATGTATAATAGGAACGTGGAACATGAGCAATATCAATCAAGATACACTCGAAATCATAAAACAAGAAACTGAACATTTAAACATTGCAATCCTGTTTGTATAAATCTGTTTTTATTAATTTTACTCTGAAAACTTACTCCACATCCCAGAACATTTCATTATTATTTTTTTTTGGTGGAGTGATATGCATATGAATTTGAGATGGTGAGCCCACTGTTCTGGCCTCTTCCTTTCTCCCCTTAGTTTGTATATGAATTTGAATTTGGAGGGTTTTTTTCTTTTCTTTCTTGGCAGGCTCCAGGTACTTCAGTGAAGGAGGGTGTAGAAGAGGTCCTTCTCCTGTGGTATGGAGTAGATTCCAAAATATTTTGAGGGGAAATTCTCTGATCAAATGTGAGGGGCAATGTTGTCCTTCCCTGCCCTGATTTCCTGTTGATACTTCCCTTGATTGTAAAAGTCTGTTTTTATGAGTTTTACTGTTAAAATTTACTCCACACCCCAGAATATTGTTTTTTCTTTTCCATTGAATTTGTTGTGGGTTGTGGACCACCAACTCATTATAGATGTTTATTTGGAATTTAAACACTTATTTAATATATTTTTTCTATTTTCTGCTTTCTGATTTCATGGCAAAACCACTCCAGATTAGTGCTATTGACCATTCCAAGGAGAAACACAAGATCCTCCTTCCCAATCAGCAGCATAGTAATTAAAGTTATTTATTTTATTTAAAATGTTTATTAGCTGCTTGTCTTCCTTACAGAACTCAAGGCCATTTACACTATATATAAAATACATAAAATATAATGCATAAAATACACTCAAAATTTAAATCCACAATTTAGAACTGCTAGTGACATAATCAAATACAGTCCCAATCCCACCTTTCCACTTCTGCCTGAAATGGGTGAGGACAGAGGGAGCATGTTGTTTTCAAGGAGGTCTGTGCTGACATAGGGAGGTCATTTGCTCCTTTCCCCAATCCTTCTCCTCTTCACAATGGACCATGGATCATGGAAACCAATGCCATGTCTGCAGAAAGAGAAAACAACGAGGACAGAGGAATTATGAGGCTTTTCATTCTATTTCTGAAAGTCTGAAAGCATAAAGAACTTTAGATGAGATTTGGGAAAGGGGGGGACTGAGAGAGCTGTTTCAATTGGTAGGTACCATCCTCGTGCTAGTGACAGATAATTTTGTCTTGAGATGCATGGGTCACCGCTCATTTCTACATGCAAGGCATACATTGCATGACTCAGCCTGTGTGGAGTGGAGATGTAAAAAAAATCCTACATGTTTTAATATTGTGAACAGGCCAAGTCTTCCCTCATCAGGAAAGAGCCAACAGAAACACAAGGAAAAATGAAGCCTATACAAGCAGTTGAGTTATATGCACCAGGGTTTTTACTGTCTTGGAAAGCCAAGATAACATGTTGATTTTTCTGACATCGACTATATATCAAGTGCTTTGGTGCACTCTAGTGTTTCCTTTACTTTTTGGTTTTCATTCATTATCAGGTGAATTTCCCCCCAAATGTATGGGGAAATCAGGTCAAATATTGCAGACTCTGACACACAAGGGTGTGTGTGTAATGTTAAGCCACCTTGCCAGTGGAGTTTTATAAAACTCCCCCCACCCCACTCCAAATGCAAAAAAGGTTTTACAGCCTTCTGCAATTTCCCATTGATTTTATTGTCAACATTTGCTTTGCTTTTCTTGAAATTAGTGATTAAATAAATTGAGTTACACCTTTCTAAGTTAAGCAGACTCAATAGGCTTAGTAGGCTGTATCTTTGTTTATGACTGTATTGTAAGAGTCCAACTATGTGTGTCATCCTTTCAGTAGGAATCATTAGGAATTGTGGCCTTTTATGTTATTAAATTCTCCAGCAGCATTTTAAGAGTACAAAACACATGCTCACAATTTGGAAGGAGGAAACATGCATGTATGGGAACTGTGTGAAGACTAGCAGGCCATAGCGAAGAACAAAACTAATCCAACTGGTTTGGATACATGCACAGGAAAGGAAAAAGAATGTAGAACTGCTTCAAGGTCAGTTGGGACTGATGCAACTTTGCATTCCCTGGATCTGACCTTGTGCCTTGTATGCTGAGGAGATATGACAAGGAAAGATTCTCTCCACAGTTCTTTCCGATCAAAATTAACCCTTCTGCCCCCACTGTATTCTCTTTTCCTGTGCTAGCCAATATATTTCACATGTTAGAAAGTTTGGTACTGCTTTTGGCTGACCTGAAGTCTCTATAGAACCACATCAAAGTTTCTACTGCAATGTTCCAGAACCTGTGCAACCAAATTATACTAAAGCTGTGCTCCTGAGCACTTGCTTACAATTCCATTGGAAAAAAAAGTTGAACTGAGCCGCACATAATACTTCAGGACCAGTTGTCCACTGCAAACCAAGAAAACTAGAGACTCACTAATAGCACTGTTCTGACAAATGGTTGTCTTCTAGGTATCTCACTATTGTTCTGAAGCTCAAGCTCATTTTGGGTTCAGATATTATGTTTATTTTTTAATGTTTTGTTCCTATGCAATAAAATCTATTTAAAACAAAGAAACTGGAACAAATATATTGGATTCTTTGATAGAAACGGCATGAGTCCGTGTATGGTATGACTATAGCATGGCATCATTTTCAACTGGAACATTCATCATACTAATGCAAAAGTGCACATGGCCTAGATCCGCCTGGGGACCAGCAATGATTTCAGGAGAATCATGATGATGCTTTTAAAGAGGAGTGATATAAGGACTACAGAGCAAAACGGGTAGAGTTGAAAAGAAGCACAGAGGATGCTGTCCCAGCATTCCAGCAGACACAGATGCTGAAAAGGTCACAGCCAGCATCTGGTATGGGTGATTTTGGCAGCCTGCCCTGGGCACTGCTAACCCATTCCACTGCCCTGTGATGCCCCCTAGAAAAGGTAACCAGATTCTCCTACTTCCAATAGTGGCACATGAGCAACTGCATTCTATTGTTCCCTCTTATTGTCACAGACTAAGACTTTTTTGGGGAGTCCCAACAGTGAGGACTAAGAGGGTGGTGAAAACCACGGAGGAATGTGAGGTGCTCCAAAGGGATTTGTTGAGGCATCAACATGGCAGATGCGGTTCAATGTGACCAAGGGCAAAGTGATGCACATTGGAGCCAAAAATTTTAACTATAAATATATGTTGATGGGGTCCGAAATGGCAGAGACTGACCAAAAGAGAGATCTTGAAGTCGTAGTAGATAACTCAATGAAAAATATCAAGACAGTGTGCGACTGCAATAAAAAGGGGGGAGAGGGTGGCTTAGAAGCACGATTTGAGGATGGAAAAACAAGTGTTCGTTCATTCCAGTATGTATGTTCCCCTT